AGCAAAATTATTTTTTGACAATTCTTGGACCCTGGTGAATACTTTGAAATTTGGCCTCTGGACCCTGAAAGCGTTAATTCTGTCACATCTATACATGTTATAGTTTTCTATCTTTATCTCTCTGTCTAAAACATCCCTTGTATGTGTTTCTGTAAATGCTCCGAACATGGCATTTGCTTCTGATAGGCACACACTGGCATAACTGTCTTCTTCATTTGATTTCAAACCCTGAATATTTGCAAACATGAAGCAGGAATTACCATTTGGGATGTTTTGCTTGCTTTGTGCTTCGTTAGTACCACTGGTGATGTACTACCTGGTATGACCCCTGGTGTACATACCCCTGGTTTCTCCAGTACTGACTTTGCATTTTTTTTTTTTTTGGCCCTGTTGTGCTGATGCCTGGTTTTGATATGTCCCATTTTGCTGCCCATCTGCCCTTTCTGTACCATTTCCCCATTTTGTCTATTTCTTTGGTTCGATCACTTCTCTTTTATGTCTAAAGAGAGATTGTTGTCCATTTTCCTTTTCTCCGCTTTCTTTGTAGCACCGCGTTCCTTTTATATGGTGGTCTGGGCAGCTCAGGTTATAACATTCTCTGAACTGTGTTGAAGCTTTACACATTTCTGGATGGAAGTACCAGCACTCTTTGCTGAAACGACACTTTCCTTTCCTTAACATGTTGGCACATTTTCTGGCATGTTTATTCCAGAAAGCTCTGCCATATAGGCACCTACCTCTTGCAAATGTTCTGACTATCTATACAGTGGAACCTCTATTTGTAAGCGCATCCACGTGTGAGTTTTTTCCAAATATGAGCAGTCGATGGGTCAATTTTTTGTTTCCATACGCGAGCAAAATTTCCATAAGTGAGCAGACCTCAAGGCAGGTTCCTTGATGCGGGTGAGGTGCTTTTGCTCTTGATCTAGGGAATTGTATCTCATTTGTTTGTTGGACTATCTTATTGAAACTTGGGCAATGTATGATGGAAAGACGCTTCTTAACGTACACCAAAAATGAAAGAAATCTAAGCATAAATAATGGAGTTCACTTCTCAGCAATTAGCTACCCCTTAGCGGTATTTTCGTATGGTTTTTATGGTTGTATTCTCGTTTTTTTGGTCTCATTTGATAGAATGGAAGATATATTACAGAAATAGATATGATTTTGATTGCTTTCACGACGAAAAGTACCTTGAAATTAACTCAACACAGGAGAAATGCACGATTGTTTTGGCTATGTTCAAGCGTAAACAAATGACATCACTGTCCATTCCAATATGCAGTCGTGAATGGGTTGACATTTATACAATTATTGCAATGTGGCATAACAGTAAATCTTATATTTGTGTGTGAATAAAAATTACAAATTATTTATATTGTAATAATAATATGTATATTAATAATAGTATAATAATACAATAAGAATAATAATATAATATGTATAATAATAATACATATATAATAATAATGTACTACATAATAATAATTATATTAAGACAGCTTCAAAAGGCTGTCACTAGATGGCAGTGTTGACCACAACAGAGGGAGCAGTTGTGGCCACCTCCACCTGGTACATAATGACATATTTTATTCATTCTAGAGTATATATCAGGTTTCCATGTTATTTACATTGTTTATTATGTCAAATTAGATGAAGTGAAGTGAAGCGAAATTGTTGAAGCACAAAATTCCACTGGAATGGATTAACTGCATTTCAATTAATTTCAGTGAGGAAAATTGACTCTGCAAACGAGCAAATCCAATTGTGAGCAAGGTCATGGAATGGATTAAACTCGCAAGTAGAGTTTTCACTGTATTTACCGCTTTTGTATCTTTCCCAAGATCTGTCGCTTGATCTGAGTTATCTTCTTCTCTTTCATCTAGGCATATTTCTTCCCTTTCATAATTTTCATTTGTTCCTGCTTTAGCTTTCTCTTCCTCCCTTTTCCTTTCCGCTGTGTTATGTACCCACTTTTCAGTACATCTCTCATGCCCGACCAGCTTTCCAACTCACTGGGGCAAATCCAGAATCAACTTTCTTGTTTTGGGTCATTTCTCATGGTTACATGACACTTTGTACATGATATATGGGATGTTTTTCCACATATTTCACAATCAATGCCCCTAATATTTCTCCCAAAATTTTTTTTCACATATACAACAGACCGTATTTCTAGCCATTTTCACTTCCTGGGCAGGTGTATGTGGTGGGTAGGTGTGGGTGGTGGGTTGCTATGGGCAGGCTGGAAGGTGGGGGGCCAGGAGGCGGGGATCCGTGGAAAGAGGGCAGGAAAGAGTTTGAGGAGGGAGGCTGTGAGGTGGGGTGTGGGATGGGTGGTGGGGGTCGGTGGAAAGAGAGTAGGGGTGTGAGAGGGTGGACTGGGAGGTGGGGTGGCGAGTGGAGGGCTGGCCGTGGAAAGAGGATATGGGTGCGCATGCGCTTGAGCAGAAAGTTCTCATACAATTACACCATAAATGTACACTGTCACTCGGGGTAAATTGAGATTTCTCTTCTCCACAATTTCAATTCACTATATCACTGCCTATTCATATCCTTTTCCCTTGCTATATCATACTATGTAAAAACTCAATTCACATAAAAAGCCCAAAAATCTAGAATTCATTACCTGTGAATATAAAAGAAATATTGTCTGTTTATCAGTTCAAGACTTAAAAACCATTTACTAAACCACAAGTAAATAAATACTGAATAACAATCTCATAAATGTATAACCTGCGACCCTATCAGACTTTTTTTTAACTACATTACCTAATAGAATACTCCATTCTCTTGAATGCACAGTAACTCGTCTAATGACCATATGACCTGTTTCTGGACTACAAATCATTGACTTTACTCGATCTGATTCGATTATATTATACATTGTTATGCTACAAACTTGTACAACTTTAATGCTTCTTATTTGAAATACTAATTTGTACTTCATGTTGTAATTTGTTTACTGTAATTTTTACCACTGAATATATCATTGCTTAGTTAATCTTAAGTTAATTTTAAGCCTGCTCATAATACTCTGCATACAAGGGACTTTGGGCATGTACACCCAGTCACTATACATGTATTTCTTTGTACAACTATGTATCATGTCCAAATAAGAAGTAAATAAATAAATATGATAGTTCCATATTCATCTGATTGTATATTTACACTTGTCTGTCAACCTCTGGCAATAATTATTCGCTGGTAGTGTTTGTTCCATGAATATATTCCATATATTATGCACTATGTATTGGGTATTTAACAAACTGTTGCGATCCACAAGTTAAGATCACTATATCACTGAACATCAATACCTTGTCACTCGCTCATTACTAATGACAAGATGAGAAACAATCCTTCCGTATACAACAACACAACCACTGCGTGGAAACACCATAGGCCTAGTTCACAACCTGTACTACACTTTTACTAATAATTATATCTTATATTTCCTAGCAGTTTTAACAATAGTCCTTTTTTGTTTCTTAGCTTTTCTGCTTTTTAAAGTTATGCTAATCCCTGGTCTTTCTTATTTCCCCTCACTGATCTATGTTCACTGCTAAACACGTCTCCTGTATGGCACCCTCTAGCAACAGCTGTTATTCTGAGGCCTGGCACTACTCTATACCAGGGATTAATTTATATTACTCTTACAAATTTAGTTCACTATATCGCTGCACATACATGTATCCTTATCACTCGCTATATTACTTATGTCATATATATAATAGTTCAATATTTATTTGGTTATTTTTCACTTTGTCGACACCTGGCAATAATTCGCTAGTTAGGCCTATTTCCACTGTATTCTAGGCTGGGCACTTTCCACTTGGCACTATAATCCACAGTTTTTAGCTTCTGTGGTCACTGATGTTTCTTTCATGTTTAAATGAGTATGTTCACTTTATGGTTTCACACATCTATTTTCCACACTTTGCCTCTCTGGTGGCTAGCAAGGAACCGCAATTTTGATGGAGCTCGACCACGCTTGACTTCCCCTCGCGCAAGGTTGGAAATCCGCCACAAGGCATACCTCCTCAGGAGATACATCCATTATCTGCTGGACCCCCCCCCCCCACTTCTCGGAAATCCGGAAAAGGAGCAGAGCACCTCCAGATAATCCAGATTCCATGGCAAACTACGCCACAACCGAGGAACCTAACGGAGTGGGATGAACTCCGGCACACTTCCCCTTACCTTGAAACTGTAATACCAGAGGGGAGGACCCCAGAGGTTACAAATGGGATGGGGAAGAGGAGAGGGTTGGGAGGGGGGAGGAAAGGGGAAAAAAAAAAAAAAACAGAAAAAAAAAAGAAGGGGAGATGGGGAGGATGGGATAGGGAAAGGATTGAGGGGGTAATTAGGTTCGGTCTGAGGAAGAAGACCAAAAGGCCCAATTCCTCAGACCAATATCCTCTTCACCACTACAAAGAGCCCCCCTTAACCCTTAAACTGTCCAAACGTAGATCTACATTTTTTCAACATTTGAAAGTATGTAAAAAAATTAGATCTTTTCTTTTTTTTACATTTGAAAAAGTGTAAAAAAAACTTGGATTTTTTTTTTTTTGTTATATTTGAAAATATGTAAAAAAAAACATAGATCTACTTTTGGAGCACTACGCATGTGAACGTAGATCTGCTTGGACAGTTTAAGGGTTAAAGAGGTTTCCACTTTACAATTATTGTACTGCTGTTAACATATGAATAATGTGGTTATTTGAATGTGCTAGTTATATGAGCATGTTAAATTGCACTATAATCCTCTTAATATTTCCACTAATGCTTCTCTGGCATATTTCAAGATATAAATTATACTACAATACTGTATTCACAAGAAACTTCTCTAAACTGTGTATGTCTAACAATTTCCTGTTAGCCAGGAAAAAAACAAATTCTCTTTAAATGCACAATGTAGCATAACTCAAACAATTCTCTAACTATTGTTTCCAAAACAAATAGAATTACAAATTAAACAAGTGAGGAAACCCAATACCAACCTCATTATCTTTATTCTCCTGTGGATTGCTGCTAATAAATGGTAACATATAAGATTTGACAGACTCATGCAAACTTTCACTTTCAGATTTATTTGAACTTGTGACAATCTGTTCATTACCCAAAATGTCTTTAGCTGTAGTCTGTACTTTATCTATTTCCTTATTTTTTAACTTGAACAAAGGTTGACTAGCATCAGGTGACTTTACAGGAATTTTAGTTTCTATATTTTTTGGACTTGGTAATGACTGACAGACACTTTTTGAAACATCACAGTTGCTAGACATTTCCCTTTTTCTGTCTGTGGTTTCTTCCTTACTGCTGCTGGTTTTACTACATACCAATGGTGGTAAATCAACTTTATCAGTCTTCTTCAGTTCTTCGCAGTTATCATTTGACCCTGCATTTTGTACTGAATCTACATCCGAGTCATCCAAGATTTCATCAATGATAATAAAACTTGGATTAATTTCATTGGTATCATCTACAACAACAGCACTGTCATGTATTGATATATTACACATAGATTCACTCAAGTTCTCTTCATCTGTTTTTTCAAAGGCTGAATTTTTTTCAGTATTAGAATTCAGTTTTGAAGTTGAACTTTCAGTTCTAGCTCTGGTTAAAACTTTAGAGCTGATACTTTCAGTTGGTGCACAAACATTATGTGAAATACATGAATCCATCTCATTTAACATACATGCAATGCATGCCTTCGAGTCCCTGATAGACCCACTCTCTCCCACATTACTGTCTACTTCACTAGCTGAGTGAGTGTGTACACTTGGTACTTTGTTTGGACTTCCTTCTTTGCCAGGATCTTTTTGAAGCAATATGCTAGAGGCTAAGCATTTAGTATCCAACACAGTTTTAGTTAAACTTTTCTTGCTTTGTTGGCGCAATAATGAAGCATCCTGACCATTACTTTCTATCAGTTTCTCTGTATGTTGGTCGAGGGCAACAGGCAAATCAAATGGTTTCTCATCACTGATCTTGCTTAACATACATTTATCTGACTTGCTTCTGAGAGGTGTAGAACACTCAAATTGGGTTTCCATTAAGAACTGTGATGGAGATGGATATAATTCTAGTGTGTCCCCACTGCTATCAATGGTTTTAGGTGGTGTCTCAGGAACACTGTCTTCTCTTGACCTGGAAACTCTTGATGGAGAATTCTCTTGCTCTAATGACAACTTAAGAGTAGACAAAAGCTTTTGTTTAAGCATCTTCTTTGGGTCAATTTCTGGGTTTTCTACATCTGAAGTGAATAATAATTTCTGGGGACTCATCTTTGGGCTTCTGATTACAGTAGGTTTTTGTCTTAACTCGTTAGTATTGCTGGTGAGTGATGCACTGTTCTTACTTAGCAAAGATAATATTGTAGCTCCAAAGAAACCAGTATCTAAAAATGCATTTTCTTTATCTAAATTAATTCCAAAAAAATTTAGACAGTTTTCATTATAATTTTCCTTGTCCTTGAGGTATTCATGTGTCACTTCTTGTAGCAGAGTGTTTCTTTGAAATTTCTTGTCGAGAATGTCAGGCCACAGACAAGACAATGGGACCTGAGGCTTCAACAAGTCCACCACTGAGAAGTTTTCATTTTCCATCATACTCAAAACCTGTTGAGATAAAAGAGTATAGTACTGTATTATATGCATCAGCAAAAATAAAAAAAAATAACATATGTACAACTTCATAGAACTCCCAAACTTATGAACAAGAAGGATTCCCATAGCATGCAAGTACAGTATACAGTGGACCCTCAATTAACGATATTAATCCATTCCAGAGAACTTGTCCTTTACCGATTTTATCGTTATCCGAATTAATTTTCCCTATAAGAAATAATGGAAATCCAATTAATACGTTCCAGACACTCAAAAGTATTAAAAAAATTTTTTTTTTTTTACATGAAATATACATTTCCCTACACAGGAAACGATGAGACATGCAGAATAAATACATACGTAAATACTAAAATGACACTTACCTTTATTGAAGAGTATTGATGAGCGATGAGACACTTTCTTGAACACGCTGGGATTTTCAGAGTGATACACGAGTAAAGGTTCCACTTTGCAATCCCCACTAGCATTACAACTAAACATGAGAATTAGCCTGTCTTTCACAGGCTTGTGTCCTGGGAGTGCCTTTTCCTCCTGAGTAATGTAGGTCCTGTTTGGCATTTTCTTACAGAACAGGCCTGTTTCATCACAACTGAACACTTGTTGGGGTTGGAATTTTTCAGCTTCGCCATGCCTTATCACACTGTATGCCACTACAATTCTAAAATCTCTCAAACCAACCTTTGCTTGCCTTAAATTCACCAATATGAGCACTAGTTCCAGGCATTTTTTCCTGTTCACCTGGGTGTTAGTTGACTGGTGTGGGTCGCATCCTGGGGGACAAGATTAAGGACCCCAATGGAAATAAGTTAGACAGTCCTCAATGATGCACTGACTTTCTTGGGTTATCCTGGGTGGCTAACCCTCTGGGGTTGGGCCTAGATATGAGAGAATACATCTATGTGGTATGTGTGCACCACATAAATCAAATCCTGCAGCACACATTGCATAATGAGTGAAAAAAAAATGAGACCGTAATTTTCGATTAAAACAGCGACTTTACAGCGTTTTTTCAAGTGTTGTTTATAGTTGTATTTGCAATATCCTGGTCTCATTTGACAGAATGGAAGATATACTACAGAAATAGAGATGATATTGACTGTTTTTTTTACTGGAAATGGCTTGAAACTGAGTTCAAAGTAGCAGAAATGTTAAATTTTTGCCGATGTTCAAGAGTAAACAAATGACCTCACAAGTCTAATACATTACAGCTGGTGGGTCTAATATACATTCAAAAATGTGGTGATATTTATACAATTATTACAATATTGCATAACAGTAAATCTTCTATTTTTTGGTTTGAATAAAAATTCATTATGTGAATAAAAAATCAAAATGGAATTTATTTGTAAAGTCTCAAAACATAACTAATGAACAGAGGAAATGTTAATTTAGTGCCAGGAATGCCCGCATTGTTTATTTTGGACACTATTTTGAAATTGGAATATTCTGATCTTTGCATTAAATTGGCCAAATTACCAATTTCCGGTCACTATTTTGTTGTTGAAACAGTTGTCTTGGCGATTTCTTGTGCTCAATCGATAGAATAGAAGTAATACTAGTGAAATAGCTAAGAATTTGGTTGACTGGAATACTGTAATTGCCCTAAAATGGGAGTCAAAGTCGGCAAAATCGCTGATGCGTAAATATCGCCAACACATCAAAATTTGCGAGAGCGTAATTTCGTCAATTTTCCATCAAATTTCGTAGTTTTTGTTTTATTACCTTCAGAAAAAGATTCTCTACCATTTCATAAGAAAAATAAAATTATTTTTTGAAAATTCTTGGACACTGGTGCACACTTTGAAATTTGGCCTCTGGACCCTGACAGGGTTAACAGTCCACTTTTCCCAGTGATATGAACCAAACAAACAGTAAAGAAATTACTCTCCAGATCATAAAAGACCAAACAAGTGCTATTATACCAGAGTCAGAAATACAGGAAGCCAGGTTACTAGGATCCCATGGTAGAAAGTGTTATGCTTAGATTCCGCTCACATGACAGGAAAAAAGACTTAATTATTGCATCTATTAAGTAAAGAAAGAGGTATACATATTATTATAATCAAAAAGAAGCGCTAAGCCACAAGGGCTATACAGCAGATGTATTCATAAACGAGTGTCTCACCAAAAAACTTTAGAACCTCCTGTACAGAGTCAGAAAACTTAAGCGGGAGAAAAATGAAACGATACACCAATGCTTCACACAAGAAGGGAAAATTCTAGTTAGGAAAACAAATGCAGGCCAACTGTACACAATCACGAACGAGAATGATCTATCATGATTTCTTAGGGATACTAATCTTACAGAGAATAACGAAAAAATGTTCAACCTAAAAGCCTACGTGTAGTGTATGTTTTGCTCCATTATTGTACAGATTTCGCAGTACAATCTCTTGGTAATCAAAAAAAAAAAATCAACTACCTCAGTTATGTGATTTTACTAGTAAGAATAAGTCACCTTATGTAATTTTCTTAATTGCTATTGCTTGCTTAAAGAAGTGCTTAATAAATACTTTGTCCATTTTACAACCCCATATTTTTTTAATACTAATAATTGCTATTACTTACTAAAAATATTATTTGATACCATTTTTACTATCAGTCCAATTTACTCTTAACATTTTTGACACATTATTTTAATTACCATTACTTGTTTAACCCTTTGACTGTCGCAAGCCCCTTTCTGAAACTGTCATTCTATGTCGCAAAAGTTTTGGAAAAAAAAAAAAATATTATGAAATGATAGAGAATCTTTTCCCGACGGTAATGACACCAAATGTATGAAATTTGGTCAAAAACTCACTGAATTACGCTCCCGCAAAGTTAGCTGTCTCAGCGACATTTACGCATCAGCAATTTCGCCGACTTTGAGTCCTATTTTTGGTCAATTCCATTGTTCCAGTTGACCAAACTCGTAGCTTTTTCTTTAGAACTCCATTTTTTCTATCAGTTGAGTACAAGACACTGCCCATTTACCAATTTGAACTACCCAATAAAGTGGTCAGAAATTAGCAATATGGCCAATTTCATGCAAATTAAAAAAGATGTCAATTTCAAAATAGGGTCCAGAATAAACAATGTAGACATTTTTGGCACTAAAATAACATATCCTCTGTTCATTAGTCATGTCTCTAAACCCCCCTTATATTACTATTGCTTTATATTCTGATTTTTTTATTCATACAAAAAAATACAAAATTTACTGTTATGCAGACTACTGCATTATTGTAAAAATGGTATAAATAATATCAGTGCACTAGTGAAAATGTTAGACTCCCCAGTTGATGTGTACTGGACGTGTGGTGTGATTTGCTTACTCCTGAACATTGGTAAAAATCAAACACTTCCGCTACTTTGAGCTCAATTTCAAGGTAGTTTTCATAGTGAAAGTAAAGAAAATCATCTCTATTTCTGTAATATGTTTTCCATTTTATCACCTGAGAATATGAAAACGAGAATACAACGATAAATACTATACAAAAATACACCTCAAAGTCGGCGTTTTAATCCAAAAAATGGTCAGTTTTTGTTATCTCATTATGCACTTTGTGCTGCAGGATTTTTATGTGGTGCACACTGACCACACAGACCCATTCTCTCACATGTGGGCCTACCAGCTTTCTCCTGCTTGATTTGAAGCCGCTAGAATTTACGCGTATAAATATGTCAGAAACAGTGGCGCGTAAGACGTATATATACAGTGGTCCCTCAATTATCGTCCTTAATCCGTTCCTGAAAGTGGGACTATTATCAAAAGACTATTTTCGAATCAATTTTCCCCAAAAGAAATAATGTAAATACAATTAATCCGTTCCTAACACCCAAAAGTATCAACCCTTTCAGAGTTTCAGCCGTACTAGTACAGCTTTCGCACCAGTGTCCATGACGTACTTGTACGCCTGAATTCTAGCGCCCTCAAATCTAGGGAGAGAAAGCTGGTAGGCCTACATATGAAAGAATGAGTCTATGTGGTCAGTGTGCGCAGCATAAAAAAAATCCTGCAGCACACAGTGCGTAATGAGAAAAAAAAAAACTTCGACCGTGTTTTTGGATTAAAACAGCGACTTTGCACTGTATTTTCGTATGGTATTTATTGTTGTATTCTAGTTTTCCTGGTCTCATTTTATAGAATGGAAGACATATTACAGAAATTGAGATGATTTTGACTGGTTTTACAATGAAAAGTACCTTGAAATTGAGCTCAAAGTAGCATAAATGTTTGATTTTTACCAAACTTCAAAAGTAAACAGATCATGCTATGCGTCCAATACACATCAACTGGCTAGTCTAATATTCTTTCACAAGTGCACTGATATTATTTATACCATTTCTACACTAATGCAGCAGTCTGCATAACAGTAAATCTTTGAATTTTTATTCTCACAAAAAAATTAGAAGTGAAAAGCAAACGAATGTAAGAGGGGCGTGGGGACGTGACTAATGAACAGAGGAAATGTTATTTTAGTGCCAAGAATGTCTGTTTATTCTGGACCCTATTCAGAAATTCGCATCTTTTGAAATTTGTGTGAGACTGGCAAAATTGCTAAATTCTGACCACTGTACTGGATAGTTGAAATCGGTAAATGGGTGGTTTCTTGTACTCATTCGATAGAAAAAATGAAGTTCTAGCGAAATAGTTATGATTTTTGTCGACTAGTACACTGGAATTGGCCGAAAATAGGGCTCAAAGTGGGCAAAATCGCCGATGCGTAAACATCGTCGAGACTGCTAATTTCGCGAGAGCATAATTCCATAAGTTTTCCATCAAATTTCATACTTTTGGTGTCATTATGATCGGGAAAAGATTCTCTATCTTTTCATGTGAAATAATAATTTTTTTTTTTAAATTGGGGGGACCCTGAGAAAAAGTCTCTGAGAGGGCCTGTGGACCCTGAAAGGGTTAAAACAAAAAATTTTTTTACATGAAATATAGATGTAGTACATAAACAATACAATGGGACATGATAAATGAAACATTAACAGCATAACAC